CTTTCTAACCCTGTCTGACCTGGAACTCACTATGTAGTAGATAGCTAGACTTGGAACTCACAGACATCCACCTGCCTCTGCCTATGTGACCACACCTGACTTAAAAGAGATGTTTATCATGGATTTAACACAGATATTAGTGGAAAGAAAGGACTTTTGGATAGTGTAGTCTTGTGAGGGAGAGCCACACTTAAGAATTGACACAAAGCCATGTTTACAGTTCTGTTGACTTTGTAAGTTTCATTTCAATGGGTCCTTAGGGAGTCTGTCTCTCACACACTCTTTCTCATTCCCTCTCTGTCTCTTTATATTGTCTCTATCTCTCTGTCTCCTCTTCTCTTTGGTAAGAAGATCATAGCTCAGTTGCTGAGATGGCTTGGGTAAGATTCTGATTTAATAAAGTAAAAGCATGGGTCAGCAGAGTTCTCCAAGGTGCCTTACTCTACATGGGGTTCATATTCCTGCCCTGGAGATCCTTAGCAATTTGCTGCTTACATCTGGGAAAGGAGTATGTTCATACTCAAAAAGTTTTATTTACTTTGCCCTCAAACATGGCTTATAGGTATTTGGGATATTACTAAAAAAAGGAATATTGTCCCTGTCTACAAAGGTAGTCTACACAGCAAATTTTATTAATTTTGTATCCTGACTAATATTGATTTTCAACTTACTAAGACCTAGAATCAGCCAAGGGTTACTCCTCCACTCACACCTGTGAGGCCTTATCTAGATCATATTATACATCTGGGTTGTGCTTGCGGGAGATTAGCTTGTATATTAAGTTCATTGAGATGAGAAGACTCTTCTGCCTTGGAGAAACGGATAGCACCATTCCATTCCATTCCATGGATTTGGCACTGAGTTATGTAATAATGATCAACTTTCTACTGTCTGCTTCCTGACTGTGGATACAGTGTGATCAACCACCATTACCCTCCACCATGCCTACTTCTTATAAACGTTCTTTTTATTCACTTTTAAAATTTTACCTTTTGAGCATCCACATGTTCATGCTGACTCCAATAAAGTGGAGTAAGAAGTCACCAAAGCCAGACATGGTGTCAGAACCCTCTGATCACAAAATTTAGTAGGCAGAAGCTGGAATTTGAGAGTTTCAACAATGTGAAAGGATTGAGTGTACAATGGGGTATGGAGTCAGGTTCCCAGGAGCAGACAAGAGTATGTTGGGCCCAGGAAACTCTCCCCAGACTATAGCAAACCCGTGGGCCTCTGGACAATCTCAGATCTAAGGCTCAAGGTGTCTTCTTCCATGATGCATGTGCACCCCAAGGTCTGAGCTGTGGAGATGTGAGTCCCAGTTGCCTTGAAATCCAATGCACAACGTTTCTATAGTTGCGTGGTCTCAGGATGTGAGGGTAGGGGATGGGGAGAAGACTTTGCCCAGCTGCTGATTGGATGGGGTTAATATCTTTCTGCCCTTTCCCTGCTCACTTTCAAAAACCAGCAAGCCATGCTGGTTTCAGGAACAAACAGTAATTACAAAGCTTGGAATAGCACTTCCCAGGCTCCATCAATGCACCATCTCCAGGAGGTCAGGACTAGATGGCCCAGACAGTAGAGACTCCAGGGAGCTGGGACTGGGACTCAGAGAACTTCCAGCACCTCCAATGCCCTGGGGACACTCAGGTCCTCTCCTGTCCTTTCCCATCTCCTTCATGTCTCTTCCTATCTACTGGGTATATTTTTCCCCTTTGTATCCCCTCAAATTCAGTAAGCTCTCAGGTAAAAGTAGAATCAACATAAGATAGACTCAAGGAATAGTTACTACTCTTGCTTTCTATCTGGGCAGAGCCCAGACAGTTTGGTAATTTGCTGGGATTCTTCTGCCTCGGTATCTTGCCTGCCAATCCAAGACTGAAGGGCTCATGAAGAGCTGATGACACTGGAACAGATTTGAAACACCCGTGGAGAGGCCCTGAGAGGTCAGTGAGTCCAGTGGACACCTGAAGGGGTGGTAGGTTCCTGGACTGTAGGATGACCAAGGAGAGCTGCAGTTGTGGAGTAGAACTGGGATGGTAGGCAAGCTGTGTATGCTAGAGATGGCAGAGCCTGAAACATGGAGCTTCCACAATCTCTGAGAGCCCAGACTATCATTAGAGTCTCAGAACTTGCACAATCTAATACAGGAAGCACTTAGGTTTTGATTTCCTTAAATGTGATTGATTTGCTATTCTCCCGTTCTCTGCTTTTTGAAAACAGTGGGCTGTTACTCATTTTTTTCAAAGAATATATATTTATGAGACTGTAGACTTACTAAATTTTGGAATTTTTAAAGACTATGGGATTTAAGAAGGTAAGAATGTTTTACATTATTATTAGCATGATACTTCAGATACCATGGATGGAAAGGTCTTGTTTGATTGGAATGTATCATAAAATTATGAATAAAATGAATGTTTTCCCCCTAAGGTACCTTGAGTTAGATTATTTTATCAGTTTAATAGAAATGAGAATACTCCACTGCCCTGTTTGGTGCTCAAAATGAAAAGAACCTGGATATGAATTCATGGGCATCTGCAAGGCCTCTTACTGAAACACACTTTCAACATGCAGGTTTGAGTCCTCTTCTGTGTCACTAATGTACATTCCCTTACTGCTCTCTATTACACTGTCGTCAGCCCTGCAACCATATACAACCAACAAAAACAGACTCAGCAGGTTACCTTCACGTATTTCAGCATACTTACTCATACATACTTGACAAGGAAGAAGTTGGAAGGGAAACATTGGAAAAGGGATGGAGTGAAGAGAGAACAAGGCGGAAAGTGATGCTGTATCTTTTAATTAAAATGTATGGAAATAAAATGTAAATAATAGAAGGGGCTAGAGAGATTGCTCAGTAGATAAGATCACTGGATGTTGTTACAGGGGACCCAGGTTCCATTCCCAGAACCCACATGGTAGCTTACCATTTGTCCCAGTCATATCCTGCCCTCTTCTGGCCTCTGTAGGTACTGTGCAAAGACACATGCAGGCAAAATACCCATATAACTAAAATTTTTTTAAAAGTTATAAAAAGGAAAAAAATTGAAATTCTGTACAGCAATGTCACAGTCCTGAGACAGAAAGCAGCCAGGGCTAGTGAAAATAAACTCCTTCTGATCTCCATGGAAGCAACTGTCATGTTTTTCTGAGTCAGCCTGCTCAGAGGCAAAAGAAGCCTTGTTCTGAGGTTACAATAGCTCAGCAGAGCCATCCAAATAAGAGCAGTGACCACAGTGGTGATAGGTGACTTTTCCTTTGTGTTTTCTGAATTCATGTTTTCTGTCCTTTGTTATTGTGAGAATAGCAGAACTGTATATGAATGTGTGCAGACTCCCCAAGTAAAATCCCCATGTGTCTGTTGCTTAGGGAAAGCATTGCTTTGGAAATGACTCCTATGTTCTCCTTGCCTCCTGCAGGTAAGAAATCTCAGGTCCTCTGTCTTGGCTCTTGTTTTGACTATTCTTGGTAGACAAAATGACTACCTCTGGAATTAACTAATACACAAAGAATTGGGTAAAGGTAACGAAAGCCTTTAGGGACCTGCTTTAAAGATTTTTCTCTCAGAATCCAAAGGAGACTCTACAACCAGCAGAGGAAAACTAGATTAAAGGATAGAGGAATGAATCTACTCACACCATGTGTCCATGTGTCTATATTGTTCTAAGTAAGTGTCATCTCTACAGTGAGGATACCAGCTTATAAAATTGGCAATGCAATGTGCGGCTTGAATTTCTCAGGATCATAGAAAAAGGTATAGAATTCACACACAGAGCAATAACTGTCAGGTTTCATTGATGGCACAAGGTGGGAGTGGCTAATGATAGTTTTCTGGTGAGGTCAACTAAGGATTAAATCAATAGAGGGAATCTAAGAGAGCAATTCATGTGCTCAAACTACATTCCTAAGTATGGCTTGGTTTAAAGTTAAAAGTCTATTAGTGAAAATCATGAATAAGGTAAAACTGTCTTTTCTCCCTGCTCTGCTTCCAAAGGCTCTCAGGAGCTATTTTTCCAATGGGCTGGGTAATGGGTAAGCATCCTTGGTTACTAGGCAATCTGCATAATCAGTAGAGGAAGACCTGCAGCTTTTCCTCTGCTGTAGCACTTTTGCTATAATCAGTTGCTTTAAAGGAACTTCTTAGATCTAAGGATTACACCTATTGCTTAAAGATGCACAACAAAGATAGGATTAAGCTTAATTTGCACAAGAAACAGAACCTGGCACCTTCCAGTCCCTCAAGCCATGGTGGCCAGGTCCTAGAGGGTCAGTGGGAAAGTTTACTCTTCTCTAGGAACTAGCAAATGGCTGATTACCTTTTCCACTATATCTCAGTGTTTACAAGCAATAAATCTCTAAGCTAAAATCATGTGTTAATAAACTGAGGTGAAAGTAAGTATAAGGAGTTAAGAATTTAAGGTTAGTGAGGTTGGCTTGGGATAATTTTTCTTACCTGCAGGCAACGTAAACCGGGGTACATTTCTATCTATCTGTATCTATCTAACTATCAACAATGTGGTAATGTTTGAGAATGTCTCAAATTTTTGCCTGCATGACTGTTTTCACAAATAGCTAGGGGACATTATGAATATACCCCAAATGCATAGGGGAAATTGTGCCCAATAAATGATCAATCACACTGCTAGAAGCTTTTGTGAAATGAATCCCAAGGTAGTAACAGATGAGAAAGCTACAAGAAATTCACTGCAGGAAACAGCCAATACATTGAAAAGGCAATAATTCCAAAATGCCTTGTATTTGGGCTTAACTCCTCTACCAGAACCCCTGATTCTAATGAGTTGGCCTTGTCAATGATGGCTGAGTCCCTACTTCATATTTCTGTGGTTTGCAGCAATTTGGGTATACCTGTGAGAGATTCTTCTTCTTCTTTTTCTTCTTCTTCTTCTTTTTCTTCTTCTTCTTCTTCTTCTTCTTCTTCTTCTTCTTCTTCTTCTTCTTCTTCTTCTTCTTCTTCTTCTTCTTCTTTTGTTTTTCAAGACAGTGTTTCTTTGTGTAGTTTTGGAGCCTGTCCTGGATCTCGCTCTGTAGACCAGGCTGGCCTCAAAAACACAAAGATCCGCCTAGCTCTGCCTCCCGAGTGCTGGAATTAAAGGCATGCGCCACACAGCCCAGCTGAGAGATTATTAAAGGTTTGAAATGGGAAGACCCTTGATCAATCTGGATCTTTGAGGTGATATGATCCATCTTTAATCTTGGCCAGACCTTCTAGTGGCAGCCTATATATTTATATAAAGAATATTGAAAAAGGAAGCTCTTTGTCTTTGCCTGATTGTCATGGCTTTGCCTAGGAAGGTCATTCATTTACTCTCTTTAGAGCCCAGTTCTTAGGAATTCTGGTATATACTAAAGACCATCCAAGATGTCCAGCCTCAAGGATTGAAGAAATACTGAATTCTTGACCTTTCCACTGGTAGACAGCCAATGCTGGACTAGCTGAATCACAGACTGTGAGACATTCTAATAAATCCACTTTCTACCTACATAGGGAGATTTATTCTATCAGTCCTGTTCAAGCAGAAAACCTTACTAATACTGTTCTTGCTTTTTTTTCCACCTGCCCAGAGGAAGATGTTGTAGCTAACTGTAGTGCTCATAAAGGCATCCTTCCTTGTTCCATTTCTCTCTAAGAATTCAACTTGTTGTGAAGACTACACTTCATATTGTTGTTAAATTGCCAAGAGATTGAAATGGATTTCAGGAATATATAAAACTCCTAAAGCAATGGAACTATCATCCAGCCTTCTGATGGAATAAAGATCTATCTTGTCTGTGATCTGGTTCCAGCTTTTCTCTCCTGGTTGTCTAAAGTCCCTGTGACAACCAGGTAAAAAGTACCTGAGTTCATCAGACCTCAATGTGAAGCCATAAAACAGATATTTCATTTTGTATCCTAAAATCTCTCTTTAATTGTTAATATTCTGGGCATCCTTCAACCTGGTGGAGAGGGGAATCATTCTACTCCACATTGTGTAATGGGCTGTGCAAGCTAGTCACATGGTGTCCAGGAGGTAGAAGGGGAAGTGCCTGTGGAGTGCAGGAATATAGCAGGGTCAGCTATTTGAGCCAGGGGCAAGTGCTATTGAAATGCAAATCTCTGCAGATCTGGAAAAAGTCTGGGTCTTGGGTGGAAGGCAGGGCCAGGAACCACTGTGCAAAGTCTTTAAGCACACTGTTGCCCTAAGGGAGGTGCTCTTGTCACTCAGGCCTCACTAGCCAATCAGGCCCTCCAGTCTGACCTGCCAGTCAGAAGAGTGCAGGGGCCCTTCCAGGGCCAGGCTGCAGGCTTGTCTTTGTAACAGAGTGTATGCCAGTGGTTTTGTGTGCTGCCTGTGCTGTTGGAAGGAGCTGAGGGGAGAGCATGGGTGACCTGGGAAGTCAAGACAGTGAACAAGAGGCTGCTGTCCCTAGGTCAGGAGGAGCAAATGGTGAGTTTCAGGAGCCAGTGTGACAGTCCTCTCTGGGTTTGGGTGGGAACCTGTAGCAAGATTCCCTGTCCTGTGAGGTCCCATGTGATCCTTGCAACTCCCTGGACCCAGGTGCAGGACTCTGAATAACATTGCTCTGTAGGCTGCCTCTGCTCAGAGCATTGGGAACAGGGAATTATGTGTAGAAAGAAACATCTTTGTAGTCAAGGTTAACAGGCCTTTGATGCATCCATGGAAGGCAGGCAGCCAAATTCAGAGAGGACTACTTTTTCCAGTATCTTCTAGAAGTTTTGCACTTTGGAGTTAATATTTAGATGATAGATCCATTTGCAGATAATTTTGTGGAGATTATAAATGGCATCTCTTGTGTTGAATAGCACTCCACTACTAAACTGTGATGGAAAATAGTAGAATTGGTGATATAAAGGATTTACCAATCCTTAGGAGATAGTAAGTCATAGAGAGTAGAATTTAGCTAAGGGAGGGCTCCCTCTAAAATACCACAAAGGTAGGTATATGCTAACCAGGTCTTTTAGAGATTAGGATGCTAGGATACACATTTGTTCACGAGGATTGTCCAGACATTTGCCTCCAAATCATGACAGAGGAGACACCCTTAAGCTACATCCAGCCTCTAAACCTTTCCTTATTCAAAGAGCAGGCCTCTAACAAGCTGCTCTAGGGACACTGAAGGGTCACAACCAACCTTAAGGCCTGGTGTGCCATAAATGTCCAGTTTTCTTGAGAAAAGCACTGTTCTGACAGATGGACGAGATGACACGTATTTGAAAAGAAAAACACCGTTGTGTTGAGGGCTGGCCTGATCAACAGTACTCCCTTTAGGCCCTCACACAGGGAGAAGGAAGGTGCTTCAGAGAGCCAGGAAAGGCCTGGAGTCTAGGACTTGGGAGCTTTTCCTAAGGGCCTTATGTATTGAGAATAAAACAGAGCTCTTTCTTTAAAACCAGGAATATGCTAGGGAGAGCTGGTAATGATCTGGGGCCAGGGCCTTTGTGGAGGGGTTGCTTCATATCCTGAGAATACAACTCTTATTACCACATGGCGCTATGGTTATCAATCCCAAGGCCACTATGTGCTTAGCCAGTAATGTTTTTGAGGTACTCTGTATTCTCCTTATGCAGCAATGTGTGAATTGCCTCCTCCTGAGTTTGCCCCATTGTATGGTAGTTTCTGTTGACTTCATAGAAGTCTCTCATTTTCTTCCATTTCCCCACTGGAAGATGCTATTCTTCGTAAGTTTACTTGGCATGAGGCATAGCTCGTGCAAGACCTCCCCATCCCAGCCTTTATTATTATTTTATTTTTTGCCTTTTATTTTTCCTATCCTTCTCATGCCCTGGATGAGGAGGTGCCTTCTCATCTCCCGGCACTTCCACCTCAGGACCGTGTCACTGATGACTGACCTACTGTTTCATGTTTGTGGTGTACTTAAGAAATAAATCTGGAATTATCTTTGCTTTGTGAGTTTCCCATCTGCCTAAGTGGCTAGTTTTGCAATCTCCTGATACTATTTAAATGTTCAAAGTGTAACTGGAGCCTTAACCTAAAAGAAACTTAAGGATGACAGAACATGTGGAATGCAAAATCTGTTCCAGGCTGGCTCCTCTTTGAGCATTAGCCAGATATGGATGCATGCTCTCATTAGAGAAATTTTTCTTTATTAATCTCTTAAGTGTATGGAAGGCATATTAATTTTTTAACAGCTGCACCTCCAGCTATTTAGAAAAATATTTTTGAGAGAACTGTCTTATGTTGACTCAGGTGACCTTAATCCCAGTCTGTTGGTCCCCAGGGAAATGACCTTGGCATCCATGATTGAACATTATAAATTCTTAAGTGACTACCACCTCAGAGTTTTAAAATTCCCCATTTGTGTCATGTAGTTGATTATCCGTTGCAGTCACAGGAAAAGGATTTGCATGTGGAGCATGACTTCTGCCTTCAGAGGAGATAGGAGGAATAGTTTATTGTGTGCACTTCAGGGGGAAACAGGGTAGGCAATCAGCTGCTAGAGTCACCATTATGAAAAAGGACTTCAGGGTGAGTGATTCTGTAATTTTTAGCATATTTTAATCCATATCATGAACACAGATCAGATTGTTGGGTGTACAATTTGAGAAAGTTAGTTTGAGCCAATGAATATCAAATTTCCAATTAGATGGCTCTCCTTTGCAGATATGTTCAGTCCTGCTTGACAGAGTTAAGTCAGCTCAGAGGACTGAGAAACAGACCATTGCCTGTAACTCTTTGTCAGGTTACAGATCTCAGTAGCCAACACATGCACATGGGCAAGAGCAACCAGTCTCTTGTTAATTGCATTTCCTCGGCTAGCGACGATCCTACTCTTTTTTTATGTCAACATAGCTAAGTTTTTACCTTAAAAATAAATTACTTTTATCATGCTAAAAAGACACTTAGTATTATTTTTTAAATTTCCTTTTCTTTAAATGCATTTCTTCTCTGATCCCTATTTGTTTCTATTCTCCAATGTTTCTCGATCATTAATAGTTTCATTCCTTTTCTTGAAAGTGCTGTTGATTATTTAGCTATATGTAGAGTGATGTCTCCTGTAGGCTGGCCTCATGCTATGTAAGTGAGAATTGCTTGGAACACCTAATCCTTCCTCTGCTGCCCCATACTGGTAAGTTAGTCCTGCAACTCTTCCAGACTGTGTCTTGACTAGTCAGTGAGAGGGAATAATAGACCAGTCCTCCAATCTCTCTGGCTTTTATTGGGGATCTAGAAATGAAGAGGGACCTGGGCAAGAATGGAATTCACTGACCAATTTTGAAGCTGTTGTAGTGACAGTGCAGAAAGGGAGGAGCAGGAAGGAGGGTGAAACATTTCCTGCTTTGTCAGTAGTTGAGATTAGCAACGTGGTAGTTAATCAATTTCAGATGCTCCAGTAATATCCTGACTTGCATTTTTTGGAGTCCACATTCCAGGGCAATCAAGAATCTGGATAAAGGACTGACTTTATCATGAAACCAAATTATTGTAGTTATCCTGGATCAAACAAAATAGAAGAGCTGGGTAAAATAATGAGGCTCTGCCTAACAGGACTATTATTTTCCTGGTTTAAGCTGTTAAGCCTGAGGGAGCAGGCGTGAATAATCATTGGTGTGTTCTCATACAAATCTGTAGTTTCTGCAACATGTGGCCCTAAATCCTGCTTCAACTTTTCAAAATAGTTCTTTGAGAGTATAACTACATCATGTCCACAGTCTCTTTCCTGCCTGCAAGCCCTACCACTGCCCCTCATGTTTTCTAATTCATGGCCTGTTTTTGCTTTAAAAATAGTTAAATAATAGCAACAGTTGCTTTTTGAATGTGAACTATGTTTGACTGTAGTAGTTCCCAGCTTAGAAACTAAGGGTTGACTGCATTGTAAATTGAGTGGGTAATAGATTGTTCATACATAACACTCCATGCCTTGGAAGAAGAATCAGTCTGGGAGACTGGGAGAATTTCTAATAAAGTACTAGGGACCTGTCTTCTGGGGTGGAAGTGCAGAGGAGGGAAGGCCTGTGTTGTCTGAGTCACTTTACCCAGTCGTGGAAGGTACTAATGTCCTGAGGCCCAGCTGCGTGGCCTAGACTAATGTGGGACCCTAGGAAGGTTTAGTAATTTGGAGTACCAATAGAAGGTAGGTATAGAGAGCTGCGAGGGAGACCAGAAGCCATGCCATCGTGAGTGTGGGGTCAGTGTCTTCACTGTCACAGAGCAGGAACAGTTCTTCCAAAGTGCAGAGGTTTCTAAGTTGTGTGTGGTTTTGGGTGAGTGGATAGGGCAGATTCCACATCTTGTGACATAATCCACATGGCAAGAAATTGACATTTAATTATTCTCTTACAGTGTTTTCTGTATGGGCATCCGTGGGACTAGGTTTGCCTGAAACCAGAGGAGGACATTATAGTTTGCAGAGCCATAGCAGGAGATCACCTCCATTTGCAGAGAGAACTCTGGAGCATGGAACCTGTCGGTTTTGAAGAAATAGCAGTAGCTAGAGGGTTAGAAACATAACAGTTTAATGGTTACTTGGAGTCAGTTTTGTGGAAGTTGTGATGTCTGTGTCTATTTAGTTTCTATACACATAGAGTCATAGGTAGCTGGGTAATATTTGTCAAGATCACATTTTTCCTGGCTGAGTATCCTTTGGTCTTTTGATTAAAAGTGGAGTATATTTTTCTGTTTTGTTCTTGACTTTTTCTCTCTATCTGATTTATTCTTTCATAAATATTGTACACATTCTTGATTGGTGTAGCTTTGTGTTAATTTAGAAGTCACATTATGCCAGTGTGTGTGCTATCTTTTCATAATTCAATAGAGCATTCTGTGCTGTGGGATGTCTTTCTGTATGCTTGAATATGTGTTGCTCTCATTGGGTAATAAATAAAACTACATTGGCTTATGGCAGGAGCCAGGTGGGAAAATCCAAGAGAAATAGGAGAGGAGAAAGGAGAGTGGGGAAGATGCCAAACCGCCATCCTAGGAGCAACATGTAATGGGATGCAGGTAAAGCCATGGAAGATCCTGTAATACATAGATTAATAGTTATGGGAGGAGTCAAGCTATAAGAACTAGCTAGCAAGAGGCCTGCCTTAGGCCTTACAGGTAGTAATTGATATTAAGCCTCTGAGTGATTATTTTATAAGCAACTGTGGAACTGTGGAGCTGGGTGGGCCAGGAGAAACTTATGGCTAAAATTCTGAGTTTTTCCACTTTGCATGTAGCTTTGGAATTAAATATCATGTTATAAAATTTTGGGAATATTCTTCAGATTGTATTCAATTCATGCTGCAAATTTACCAGAGCCAACATTGTAATATTGATGCATAATGTTCCCAAGTATCATTTATTTACTTCTTTATATTATTTAGGTTTTATTGTTATTGTTGTTGTTAAATTATGAAATGTAGACAAATTTCAAAATGGTCTTATTAAATAAAAAACACAGAGCCAAATATAGAGGTGAAAGCCTTAGGGAGATCAGGGAAATAGGGAAAGCCACCAGCCAACCTTACCTCACCAACTCTGCAGCTTCTAAATGCGAGTTAGTTCCTGTCTACCCCCACACATATGCCTTGCTGTTCTGCCATCTGATTTGTACTCTGCTAGCTACATCACTTCCTCTTCCTGCCCAGCCCTGTCTCTTACTGTCTGTATGTACAGACCTCCAGAAATCCATGGTTAACTAGTTTTGAATTTAAGGCATGTGCTACCACACCTGGCTCTGTTTCCAGTGTGGCCTTGAACACAGAGATCCTACCTGCCAAGTGACAGGATTAAAGGCGTGTGCTAACACTGCATGACTTCTTTGTTTACTTATAATGGCTGTTCCCATTCCTCTGATCTCTAGGCAAGCCTTATTTATTAAAGCACAAATAAAATATCACCACATTTCAGCACAATGAAAGACTTTTAGTTTGTTGGATTGAAAAGTACTAAGGGGCTTAGCAGGTGACTTACCACATATTCTTCTTGGGGGTTTCCTGAGTTCATATACCAACACTCTAGTTGGAAGGCCCCTAACCACTTGTTACTCCATATACTGGATATCTGACCCCCACTTCTCTGCTCTGTCACCTGTACACACTGAAATCATTTCCTCTCCCACACAAACATACACATAAAAATGGGAATAAACTTGTTTTTGAAAGTGTTTGTGACTTACAAAGCAATTAGAGCAAAACAAGTTTTGGGTTTTTTTAGGTGTATAATACAAATCACACTGTTTCTTTAAAAATGTGTTATCTTGCATTTGGTTTTAATACTCTGATGTTTACTTATATACACTCATCCATCATACTCATCCATTCATAATAGCCAGGAACTGCTATGTCTCTAAGAGATTGTGTTGATTGATGATTGATGTGAGAAGGCTCTTCCACTGAGGTTGCAATATCCCTAATCAAGTGGGCCTGAGATGGATGAGAGAGCTAGCTAAGCATGAGAGAGTGACCAAGGGAGAGAAAAAGGCAGTAAGCAGTTTCCCTGTGCTTTTTGCCTTCAATTGTTTGCTTAAATTTCTATCCTAAGCTCTCAAAATGATGGACTGTGATCTGGCAATATCAGCCAAATAAACCTGTTCATTACCTGAGATGGTTTTGGTTAGAGAATTTAATCACAGCAAGAAACAAGCAAGTTAGAACAAGATGTGGTATACCAGAAGTAGTTTTGTTAATGCAAAGGACCTTGGATTGATGACTTTTGGAGGAATATTGAAGATATTAGTACTTTAGATGGCAAAATCCATAGAAAGTTGTACACATAGCTTAATTGGCTATTCTTGTAGGATTGGGAAGATGGGAATGTTGAGAGTAATGCATACAGTGGAGCTTGAGGTCATAGGAATTCAGTGGGAACTAGACTCCATGAAAAATTTAGCTAGAGGTCATTTGTATAATATTTTGGCCCAAAATCATTCTTACTTTCTCCATTCCATTAGAAATTGAGTAAGCCATAAATAAAAAGTAGTGAGCTGATTTCTTAGACAATATATTGATTCTGTTGCTTGCTTATTACTGCTGACTCATTCAGGTTCTACAGTGAAAAACAAGTGGGGCAGAAAGAAATGAAAAGTCTGTGTTTTGTAGAGAAAAACAGCACTATGTAGTTTCAGATGACAGTCCACTTGTGAAGCCAGTAGGTACTTTCAAAGACACTGTTATTGTTAAAGAGAACTCCCTTGCTCTCTACAGTAGAAGCCTATCAGTGTATTCTAAGTGTAAGACTCCATCAGCTAACCCTTCAGTTTATGAATGGATTGAGCAAAGTGATTTCTACTCCCAGGATGCAACTTTACACAGAGCCTGCTGTAACTCGGGTCGAAGCATGGCAGGGTCCATCACAACTTAGAAGCCAAATTTGGGGGGAGTCACCCATGTTGTATTGGTTCTGGAAATGGGAAAGATGCACAATTTAAAGGTCATAGACTCTCTGTGGTATCTGTTTAGCACTGTTGTACCCATCTATGTTTGGCAGAGTCAGAAACTGTGAGGAGGCTATGAGTGTTCATTGCATAAAGTTGTGAAGATGAAGCTGGGTTGCATTTTTGAGACCATAGGATGTGGTGATATTTTAATTGTGCTGAAATGTGATTTTATTTGTATGTTAATAAACAAAGTTTGCCCGAAGATCAGAGGTCATTAGTGAGGCAGGAACAGAATTCAGGTGGTGGTAGCCCACGCCCTTAATCCAATCACATGGCAGGCAGAGTGTCTGTGTGGTTGAGGACACAGTCAAGTGTGGTGACCAGAACCTTTAATCCCAGTACCAACCAGAGAGACCTGGAGGTCTGTATAGACAGGCAGTGATAAGGAAGTCATGTGGTTGGGTTTAGAGCCAATGAGAAGGCAGAACAGAAAGGCAATAAAAAGACAAGTCACACAGGAAGAAGGTCTCTCTGGGGAAGCGACGGTGACTAGGTGGTAAGATAAGGTGGTCTTGGTTCTTCGCTAGTGCTCTGATCTCTTGGGCTTTTAACTCTGTATTTGGCTCTGTGTTTCTTATTTAATAAGACTGTTTAGAATTTCGTTTACAATGGGTTGTTGAAATACCCAAGCTATGGGACATCTGCCATGGGGAACTGCATACGTGGAGTAGAAGTAGCACTGGAGAGACATGTATGAAAAGTTGCAGGATTAAAGCTATTTAAGCCCTTTGAGAATGAAGCCCCATGTATCTTAGATAGAGCTACAGGATTTGGTTTTTTGCTCTGCTGAGTTTTAGTCTTGCCTTGGTCCAATCTTGCCTCTCTGTACCTATATTCCTCTGTTTTCTTTTTTAAAATTTATTTTTCTCTCACACAATACATCCCAAATGCAGTTTTCCCTCCACTACTCCTTCCCTGTTCTCCTCTCCCCTAGATCCCCTCCTCTTCCATATCTCTTCAGTAAAGGGCAGATTTCCCATGGATTATCAACCAAACATGACACAACATGTTACAATAAGACTAGGCAGAAACCCTCATGAAGACTGGATGAGGCAACCCAGTAGGAGGAAAAGTTCCCAAGAGCAGTGTTAGGGGTACAGGAAGTATGGAGGAGGTCCATGGGTAGGCATCCTACATGAATATCGGATGGCTGGTATGGCTTCTAGTCCAAAAGGGAGTCTTTGCCTGAGTTTGTCTATGTGCTCTTCTGGCTTATATGGCCTGTACTTGAACAGACGATGTCCAAGTTGGTGGTAGCTGGAGGGTTGATGGGGGAGTGTGTCTATGGGAACAAAAAGAATTAGGAAGTTCCATGGGCTGGTGTCCTACCTGTTCTTCTGGCTTGTGTGGCCTGAACATGAGCATGGGCTGACTACCTGAGTTTTGTACTGGAACCTAGCCACATTCCTCTTTCTGAATGAGAATATATCCTGTGCCATTGCATGTTGCAAAGGTTTAATTTGTTTCTTGATTTTAGAATATTTTACATTCAAGAGATTGGCTGATGAGCCTGGAATGTAGGTTTTTGTACATGTCAAGCATATGCTGTTTTGCTGAGCTTCACCCACATCTTGAATTTGAAATCTGGCAGAGTATATCATTCTTTTTCTAGAATGGCAGTAATCATAACATTAAAACTGCCTGAGCCTTCTGAATCATTCAATTGCAGGTGTGTGTGGAAATTCCCATAAACACCTGTGACTTCTTTCTACCTTTTTTGTTCAATTTATTTTTATAGGTGAGATAGGGTCTTACTAATATCTAACTCTATCCTGAAATTCACTGCACAGGCAAGGCTGTCATGCAACTCAATCAAATACACCTGCCTTTGCCTTGTGACTGCTGCGATTAAAGGCATGAGCCAATACACACAGCTTGCCCATCATTTTTGTAGTTAGTGATTATTCATGCAATTTCTCTGGTGTGTACTCCGATCTCTTGCCTCTCTGTGTCTCTTAATAGGCCTTTCTCCTGCAAGGCTATATCCTAGACAAAGTGTGAAGAAATGACAGAGGTGAATCTCATTGTTCACTTTTTTTTTCTAAAATGAATTGATTAGAATTTCTGTTACTGAATAAGTGTGGTAAGCCCCAGAATTATATGAATATATTTTCAAAGAAGTATACATTAGCATGCTATCAGTATCACACTCTGTTGTACACATGTATGGGATATTTTAGGCTGCAGTGACCTATGATGATGTGCATATCGACTTCACTTGGGAGGAGTGGATTTTGCTGGATCCTTCTCAGAAGAATCTTTACAAAAATGTGATGCTGGAGACCTACAGGAACCTTACTGCTATAGGTAAGACTGAATTTTCCATCACATTTTAAAATAATGGGAAAACAGTTTCTTAGTTATTGATATACTTCTGTAATTTCAACTGAAAAAGAAGAATGAGGTGAATAAATCTGGCATGGTTCTAAGGTTCATTGAAGATAGTAACTTAAATTTTGCACAATTTCCCATATAATGTCATTAATTTTCTGGTGCTGTATTTTAGGCTACAGTTGGGAAGACTATAATATTGAAGAACATTGTCAAAGTTCTGGAGGACATGCAAGGTAATTTCATGTGCAAGCTGATACAAATGTGCCTATGGAGAAATTGTAATGTATCCTGGAAGTTTAAAACAAAAGTAACAGTGTAAATAAGCACAGTTTAAAGTATACTGATGATAGTTATATTCTCACAAGACCAAATACCTCAATGTCACATAACTGATATGTGTTTGCAAGGCATTGCTCTAAGAAAGAACACAAGAAAACAATGCCTTATCTGATATCCCCATTTGAATTGCAGCTCCATGGTACCTAGGCTATAGAACAGCCAATCTGTTTAATTTCATGTCACTCAGGTATTGCATAAAGAATTCATGTTGGATAGGTGAGATGTATATATCCAAAACCTTCTAGTAAGCAAATAATTCAGAGTAAACTAGTGCTACTCTTTTACTTGTGACTTTTCTAAGTTTAGTGAAAGGGATAGTTTATGAGAGTCAAGAAGTTGTTGTGGAGAATCCTTAATCCCTATATCACATGTTTGTGAGGAACAGAAAGTCAAGCTGTGTGAATGCAGTGTAGAAACATTTTATTTATTAGTTTTCCTTTATCAATATATCCTATGTCACTCTGGATACAAACCATGTGAGCAGGGGTATATGAAAGGAAGCAACATAACTCTCTCACACACAACAATTAGAAGATATATAGTAGTCACTTTGAGTAGGATTTTTGAATGTGATACAAGTTTAAAATTAATTGCTTTTCCAAGTTCATTGGGAATACATCAACAAACTCACACTACAGAAAAGCCCTATGAGCATTGGAATATATAAATATGTCTGTTTGTCATGGTTCACTTTGCAAATGTAGTATGACTCACACTATTGGAATATTTATGAATGCAATCAGTATGTTAAAGCTCTGAGTTCTTCTAGTTCTCTTCAAATATGTGTAGAATCTCATATAGAAAAATGATGTTACAAATGTGGACCCTCTAATAAATGTTCTTACCATTACAGATGCCATCCAAGACACAAAACATCCCTAAATGTTGGAGAACACTATGAGTGTATACTTTAAGATCTTATTTGTCTTAAGGATTAGAACAAATTGTAAAATTAATTCATACAGATAAAAATATTCAGCAGTTAATAAATGTGAGAAAGCTTTTACTTGTGCCAATTATCTTTACAGGTTCAAAAAATGTCATACTGGAAAGAAGCCCTGTGAATATACTCAATGTGCAAAATTTTCATATCATAGTCATCTTCAGAAGCATGAAAATATTTATACTGAAGAGAAACCCTACGATTGTATTCAGTATGGTGAAGCCGTTGCACACAACAGTATTCTCCAAATACTTAAAGGAACATGTGCTGGAATGAAAAACAATGAAAGTAATCAGTATGGTAAAGCCTTCACAAGTCATGGTCATCTTCAAATACATAAAAGAACACATACTGGAGAGAAAACATATGAATGTAATCAATGTGGTAAAGCCTTTAAATATGCCAGTAATCTCAGAGTACATAAAATAGCACATGCTGGAGAGAAACTCTACAAATGTAATCAATGTGATAAAGCTTTTTCACAACACAGTAATCCTCAAATTCATGGAAGAACACATTCTGGAGAGAAAGCCTACAAATGTAATCAATGTGCTACAGACTTTGGATGTGCCAGTAATCTCCAAATATATGAAAGAACACATACTGGTGAGAAACCCTACAAATGTAATCAATGTGATAAAGCCTATTCAGAACTCAAAACTCTCAGAATACATAAAAGGACACATTCTGGAGAAAAACCCTACAAATGTAATCAATGTGATAAAGCCTTTTCACAACACAGATATCTCCGAATACATAAAAGGACACATTCTGGAGAGAAACCCTATAAATGTAGTCAATGTGATAAAGCCTTTTATCAACACAGTCATCTCCAAAGACATGAAAGAACACATACTGGAGAGAAACCCTACAAATGTAATCAATGTGGTAAAGCCTTTTCACAATACAGTAATCTTCAAATGCATGAAAGAACGCATACTGGAGAGAAACCCTACAAATGTAATCAATGTGATAAAGACTTTGCATGTGCCAATAATCTCCAAATACATGAAAGAACACATACTGGAGAGAAACCGTACAAGTGTAATCAATGTGATAAAGCCTTTGCATATGCCAGTAATCTCAGAGTACATGAAAGAACACATACTGGAGAGAAACCCTACAAATGTAATCAATGTGATAAAGCCTTTGCATATGCCAGTAATCTCAGAGTACATAAAAGAACACATACTGGAGAGAAACCCTACAAATGTAATCAATGTGATAAAGCCTTTTCACGACACAATCATCTCCAAAAACATGAAAGAAGACATACTGGAGAGAAACCCTACAAATAGAATCAATGCAATAAAGCCTTTTCATAATAATTTAATCTCTAAATACATAAAAGAATTCATACTAGTGAGAAACCCTTCAAATATAATCAATGTGATAAAGACTCATGAAAGGCTTTATTACATACATAAAATACAAATACATAAAAGAACACATTTTGGAGATAAACCTTATGAATATAATCAATGTGGTTAAGCCTTTACATGAATCAGCAGTCTCAACTCATGAGAAAAATTCATACTGCAGAGAAACCCTATAAAAGTAGTGAGTGGAGAAACCCTATAAAAGTAGTGAGTGTGGCAAAGTTTTGCATTTCATGTTAGTCTTTATACAAGAGTAAAACTTTTAGTGTCTAATTGGTCTCTTAAAGCTTTTTCAATTTACAGTAGTCTTTGAGGGCCTGAGAAAACTAATACTCAAGGAAATCTGGCCATAAAGGTTTTGGAAGATGTTTACCCAACAGACTTACATTCAGTTACACAAGTTTATTCTGGACAAAATACCTGACAAGTGTCACCTATCTGTTCAAGCATTATGATGTTCCTCTTTATTTTGTTTGCACCATCAAACTCATATGGACAAAATGATGAGGTGGCACTTTTCTATTCTACAGTTCTCTTCAATTACATAAAATAAGGCATCCAGGTTTAACACTTAATGGGTGTGTATTAGTGCCTTTTCTGTTGCTATGATAAAACATTATGTCTAAGTAAGTCAACTTACTAAAAGTTTGCCCTTGAGTCCAGAAGGATCCAGGATAACCATGAAAGTGGCATGGCAACAAGTGTCAAACATGGCAGCTAAAGCAGAAAGCTATGAACTCACATCTTCCACCTTTGGCATGAATGTGAAAGTGGGAACTGGAAATGGTGTGTGGATGTGAACTCTCATGCTCACTCCCAGGGAGGTACTTTCTCCAGCAGGGTGAGCGTTATATATATCTTCCCAAATGATACCACCAACTAAGAAAGATTGATTTCTCTGACATCAAGCCTATGTGCTTGCTTTCTGTTACATGAACCAGTTCATGATGAAGAAAAACTCTGTAAGTAAGCCTTTTAATGCCTCAACAACTGAGTTACAGAAATAAATGCTCACAAGAGAAAAATGTTCTTGAGTGAAAATCTGATTGTGATGTCAGTGTGTCTTTGTGTGGGTATGTGCGTGCTGATTCCCCAAAAGTTTAGATCCTTGGATCTCCTTTTAGCAGGAATTACAGGAAGTTGTCAAAAACCCAACCTTTGTCCAGGGAATGACCTTGTCTTAACTGCTCGGCTATGTCTCTCACCCTGTACACATTTTTAAGCCTTCATATATGATCTTGATGTCAGAAAATAGGAAATAATTCATACCTCTATGTAGATGTAACTGTCTTTTTAAATTAAAAACACAGAGCCAATTGTAAAGTTAAAAGCCAAAGAGGTCAGAGCAAAAGCTAACAGCTAAAAACCTTACCCTTCACTGCCGCTGCTGTCCTCCTCAGCAAGAGACCTACTTCCTGGGTGTTTGCCCTTTTATTGACTTTCTAGTCTGCCTTCTCATTGGTTGTAAACCCAACCACATGACCTCCTCATCACTGCCCATCTATACAGACCTCCAGGTTTTCTATGGTTGGTATTGAGATTAAAGGCGTGTGTCTCTGTGATGGCTGTATCCTTGAACACACAGAGATCTGCCCAGCTCTGCCTCCCAAGTGCTGGGATTAAAGGCGTGCACCACCACCACCCAGCTTCTGCTATGGCTTGCTATTAGCTCTGACCACCAGGCAACTTTATTTATTAACATACAAATAAAATCACATTTCAGTACAAATAAAATATCACCATACCTCTATTCGGGTAAACAATTTGGTAAGGACTTTAGAGACATCACAGTTGTCTTCAGTTTCAAGAAAAGATCTTGTTTCATCTCTTTTACATCATAACCTTGAAGGAAGTAAACTATTTACCATGTTCATTCCAGACAGATTGTAGAGATGACTGCATTGTGGTTTCTATCTGGCAACATTTGAGGTAGATACTACAGTGTGCTATACATGTGGCAAATCCATTTAGTGAAGTGTATTTTGTGGTTCTTATATTCTTTCTTTGACTTCTGTTCATCTTCTGTTGTGTTTTCACTTAGTAATAGGTATTTTTCTGCTACAGTGTATAGAATGGGATGCCCATCATCTAAGTGGTCTATTGTTTATTTAAATATCAGGCAGTGTGTGATCATACTATTCAAGTAAGGGTGTCTATGAAAAGGTGGTGAGTTTTCCTGTTTTTTTTTTCTTCATATTTTCACAAATTCCTTTGAAATTTATTATTCAATGTCAGTAATTAGCCAGGGATACATTTAAACTCTTGATGCTTATGTGTCACCCTCTTGAGTACAAGTCCAAGGGTAGATAATGTACCCCGATGTATGCTGTTTTATTAGCATGTTTTAACAATGTTAATGTTAAAATTCTTAATAGAAGAGAATACAAAAAACATTACCTCATGTGTATCCAAAGCTGCATTTTCATATATCTGGTAGAGATGTAATAAAGGAGGATAATCAGCAATCAGCAGTATATTTCAAAACATAGCTTGATTGCTATGGATATGTATATAGTATTTGAAGTTCTATGTGTGTTCATGTCTCCATTAGTTATGCATTTAACACTTCATCTTGAAATACTACATTCTAAGGAAATTATCCAGAGATGCCAGATAATGTAATGGTAATGAAATTTGTTTAAAAAGAAATTCTGGTGTGTGTGTGTGTGTGTGTGTGTGTGTGTGTGTGTGTGTGTGTGTGTGTATGTGTGTGTGTGTGTGTGTGTGTGATATGATTACAGTTTTATGAGCCATGACACATATCGGAGACTGGAAGACAACTTTGTGAGGACTCCTTTTTTTTTCTTATTCATATGATGATGAAGATGAGGTTGTCAATCTCACTTACAACAGACATTTCCCACTGAGGCACATCTCTGATTCTTAAATAAGATTGGTTGAAACATATAAATTGTTTTTCTCTGTTTTCTAAACTAAAATATTGTTTTCTTTTCAAATTGTAAACATACTTTCATCAAAGAATAGTGGAAAACAGGACAATTTGAATAAAAAATCTTATTTGCAAATGAAAATAATATACCCATATCACTTTCTTTTGGAATGTATTAGTTTATTCTGAGGACTAAACATTTTTTCATAACACTTTCTCAGAACCACAAATGAATGCCACAGAATTATCTCAGTTGATAAAGTGAGTTGCTGCTTAGCCTGATGACCTAAATTCAATCTCTAAGAAACCCATAATACTCCTAGAAATTTTTCTTTTATTTCTTCACTTGGGTTGTGGCATATATACACTCCTACACCAGCACATACATGAATAATTTTTAAACCCAGTTATGTGCCATTGAGTTCACGTGTAGCCAAACAGCACTATGGATTTCATCTCTAAAACTCACATAGGAGAAGTAGATAATAGACACCTTTAAAGTTGTCCTCTCATTGCCATATACACAACATGGCTCAGGTAAAAATATAAACATAGTTAAGCATTTTTAATTGGGTGAAATTAACAAAGCAAAGAAAATAACCCTATTATTGAGAACATATGAAATGATTTGTCAGTTTAAATTATTACTATAAAATTTCAAGAAGTATTAGTCTTCACCAAAACATCCCTGGTTCCTTGTAAATTCTTATTTTGTCCATTAATTCTCTGATTCAAAGATAGGCCATGTAAAAACATAATCTCAGCTTGGCTTAGTGGTGCATCCCTATAACCCCAGCACTTGGGAGACAGTGGCAGGCCAATTTCTCTGAATTTGAGGTCAGGTTGTTCCACATAATGAGTTCCAGGGCAGCCATGGCTGTCTTAAAAGAATACAAAAAGGAAATGCATATCTAAAATTATGGAAAATTTCCTAATACACTCTGACTGGAGTCCTTTGACAACTATCTAGCAGGGACATTCAGCATGTTCAAGTGATAGGACACAGTAGGAGTAATGGAGCATTTTCATCTTCTGCATTATAATGACATATTGGGGAGCTGAAGAGTTTGCTCAGTAGTATTGCTCCTGTTGGGCCCCCATATTTGGTTCCTAGCACCTACATCTGATAGCTCAGAAGTACCTGTAATTCCAGTTCCAGGAGAGCTGATGCCTCATCTGGCCTCCTAGGACACCAGATATGCAAATAGTGAAAAGACAGATATAATTGGGATTCCAGATTGTTAAAAAGGTTTTCTTCATGTTTATATTATTTTTAAAAAGAATTTAAAGTAATTTAGGTGTATGAGTCTTGCCTCTGTGTATACCTGCTGGAGTTTAAGCTTCCTGTAAGGAGAGAAAAGGAACTTGGAGGCATGAAGACCAACTTGTCTGAATGGCATCATATTCTGTTTCCTTAATGTCTTCAAAAGGTTCAATTAGTGTCCCTGAGTGATGATGACTCCAGATGAAATCCAGATTACCAGGAGATCCTGAGACTTAAACAGAAGTCACTATAAATGCAAACAGGCATTTACAAAGAGATTATGGGTGAACTGTTAGGGATGGAGTTTTGAATGTGAGAGCCAGAGGATCAAATTGCCAGAGGACAATGATCAGGGTGTACCCGAGGACAAGCTGGCTCCTACTGTGCTCTCTGTATCTACCCAGCTGTGGTGGGTTAGCCACCTCCAGGTCTTCCACACTTTTCTTATTCTTGGCAACTACAGTGTAGCTGCCACTGACAGCACCCTGCATCCCCCCCATGTGGTGGTTCCCAGCCTGTCATCATCCCTCTCACCTGATTGCCTGACAAAAGTTAGGATATTCTAAAGAAACATTTATGTTTCCCTTTGGCTAACAATTAGATAAACAGTGAACTGAATTAAATTCAAATTTCTCTTACAATAACATTCTGGGGAAAAAAAACAGATTCCATATTGCACCCTACCTGAACAATACCTTGCAGGACACAGAGAAGCTAAGAATGAGGGAGAGTTTAAAGAATGGGTAGAAATTCATTGTATGGTTTGGTTAGGTTTCTTGCTTGTGTAATGCCTCTTGCTTTCTATTAAAACAGGATGACAAGAATAGTTAACTTCTATCTTCATCACTGTTCCAATTTGGTCATACTGAATACATATCAATTCATGATAAATTTGCTTTTTCATTGTCATTTTAAAATTTTTTAAAGAACAGTCTCCCTATGACTCCCTTGCTGGCCTGGAACTCACTAAATAGACTAGGTTCTTCCAAAATATCAAAGAGATTTATCCACCTTGTCTGCAGAGCACCTGTATTATAGCACATCACAACAAACTAATTTGGCTCTTTAAATTCACTTATTGAGGATGAGTAACTGAGCCTGGCTGATTAAGTGTAGGTAGGACACATCCTCTGGTCCTAACTCCTGTAAAATAAGAAGGATCCCATCAGCCCTCCTGTTTTACAGTCCACTGTCTTGCAATTGTGAGCAGTACTGTCTTTCTTTATCATTGACTCTTGTATAACTTATCAAAGGACCTGGGCAAAATTCTGCCCTTATACACAGATAGTGAAACCCAGGCTCACAAAGATAAGTGGTTCTTGAATATGGTTAACTGTAACTGTTCATCATCCTTGCACCCCCATTCTAATGACTCACTAAATGAAAAGAAGCCACCTAAGCCAGGCATGGTGGCACAAGACTATAATCATACCACTTAGAAAGTGGAGTCAGGATATTCATGATTTCAATTCATCCAAGTTGAGAGTGGTCATTGGGGTATGGTGGGAAACCCACTAAATGAAGGGAGACCGGGATTGGCCCAGGCCAATGTCCATAGTCTTTCCTGAAGCTCCAGAACTTCAGGGAGTATGGCACAAGCATGTGTTAACTCTGAGGCTCAGGATGTCTTCTGACCCTCATCAAGGCATTCTCTTCTCAGCAGCCTGAAAAGAAAGTTTAGGAGCCCTGGAATGTTGGAGTCTCACTCCTCTTGTATTCTAAGCAGACAGCATTTGTACCAAGTAGATAATGTCTCTTTTATATGTTTGTGGGACTGGCAAGGACAGAAATAGCCACAACAGCCCATTGTCTATGGTGGTTATTCATGTGCCTCTTCCCCAACCACAGGCCTAGTCACAGTGACAGGGGAGGG